TTCCCAAACTGGATCTCTCTGTGTAGCCAGTATATCTGATAGACTTTTTAATTTTAATTTTATAGGTAAGATGGCTTAGGATCAGAGAAATTATGTGTCTGCTATTTCATAACACAAATCAAATCAATTTTAACTTTATGTAGAAATATTTAAATAAAGAATTTCAATAAATATTAATATAAAAGGCAGTCAATTTACAGAGCCATGATCCTTGGCCCAGATCTGTAAATACCAAATTCTGTCTAATGAAAATACTTCTGCACATAGAATTTTGAGGGCAGTAGACTACACAGGCTGTAATTTATTATTATTGTTAGTTGTTGTTTGTCATTGTTTGGTGTCGCTGTTGTTGTTGGTGATCTACTCTTTCTCTCCATTAATTAATAAACCGTGTAGAGCACCTTTTGCATACCAGGCACTACTTTGGATTCCTGGGGATAATAAAATGAATAATACTGGGCCTTGACCTTAAGAAGCTCTAAGTCAACATCATGAACAACATAAGCTGTTGATCAAAAGAGAGCCAGAGTCATGCAAGTGGGGAACAGACTGATAGACCTCAGAGGGATGGGGGTAGGGGGGTGGGAAGAGATAAACCAAAGAGCTTATATGCATATATGCACAACCAATGGACACAGACATTAGGTTGTAGAAAGCAGGAGGGAGGTGGGAGTGGGGAGGAAGGGGTCAATGGAGGAAAAAGGGGGGACATCTGTAATACTTTCAACAATAAAAAATACAAAAAAAGAGAGCTCTGAGTCTAATGTACAAGAAAGACATATAAACAGTAGTTTTTGATACGGTCGTTTGTGCTTTCATAGAAGCGTGTATACCTCTGTGGACTGATTTTCAAGAAGGTGGCTGTATTTTCCTCAAAGTCTACCCCATACTGTGTACAGCTAGAAAGTCCACAACTTTTTCTCTTTGGTTTTTAAAGCTAGCATAGCGTAGTAGAAAATAATACTTGACTAGTAGTCAGAAAAGTCGTGTTTGAGATATGGCTCTTCCACTTATCAGCTCTAGGATTTTGAACCAGTCTTTCCGTCATGAAACCTTATTTTCCTCAATTATAAATTAGAGATGGTAGATACCTCAGGTTATCATGGGATCAAATGAGACTGTAAGAAACTGGTCTGTGATCTTGAGATAAAGTTCTACATTATACTTTGTTTATAGGGTGTTATAAATAATAAACACCAATGTAATAATCAATTTACTCAGTGTTTCTGGGTTTCTGGCTGTTTGCTGCTGGGAAGAAGTGCTGGAGAATGTGCCGTGTTTGATGGTGAGCACATAGTTGTGTACATACCCACTTTCTCCCTAAGTACAGTGAAGAGAACGAAAACATCATAAGGGTAGTGGGTGTCGTAGTAATGGAGAATGAAGCAGAACTAAGCTGATCAGGACAGGAAAAGGTACCAAAAGCAGATTCACATACAAACTCACTCATTCACAATTTTACCCAGAGTTCTCCTGATTCTGATCATCATCATCATCACAATAATTTACTGAACATTAAATGAAAGTCATACATTCCATGGTGTGTGGGTAAATCTTTAACAACCAACTCTCTGGAGAAAAATAAACATGATAGATAGCACTGGCCAATTTCTGTAATGTAAATACTCCTATCATGGCCAATTTCAGGCTACTAACGTGACATCACTGAACAGGAGTTAGGAAGAGATGCAGAGCAGCACACCCTTATATATGATTTCCATCAGATGACAATAATAGACATAAATAATCTCAAGAGTATAGACAATAATAAACATAGCAAAATGATCAGGAAGTAATCAGTTATAAGTCTTTACTAGCTCTATTTTAAAATTATTTAAATGCAATTCAATTTTATTTGATTTTTAATATTGGCTATATTGAACATCCAGCTTGCAAAATTCCTGAAAATTTAGCAATCAGCTCTTATAATCCTGTGTGAGCCAGTGGTGGCCCAACACTAGACATGTTTGTAATTGCACTGGTATGGTACTAGTTACGGTAAAAGTCAAGACACTATGTAAGGAGCCTTTCTACATACTCTTATCATAAGCTCCTAGATGTCTAGGCAATTACCACACCATGTTATAAGCTCACTTCTCTCCCTCCACACTTGCGTTTCCTGAGGCCAGTTACTGTGACTTTTAACACCATCTCTTCTGTATCTAGCACTGATCCAGGAAAAGCTCAGCAAGTGCACACTGAAGAAATAAACTGACCTGGCTCTGGCTCCTATTCTCCAGGAACCCACAATCTAATGTGATGTACCAAGACTCACAGCAGCAGAATACATGCATGGTTTAGTAGTAGCTCTGAACAAACATGTGTATGTATAATAAGGTTTTTCTATTACCTACCAGTGGCTTTCAGTGGGATGGAAAATACCAGGGATTATGGATCAATGCAAATAGATGCTCAGTTCTTTTCTGCCCCTGTTGTGATTAAAGCCTCATCTGTTTACTGATATTCTTTGGATGTTTGAATCTTTAAGATGTAAAAATAGTACATATTCACTATAAAAATGCAACATAGAGAAGCATAAAGAAACAAAAGCCACAGATATTTACAAGGTTGATATCTTAATGAAGTTAGGTTAAGATAATAGCACTTAGAAAGTACCAAATAGCAGTGGTTTACCCACCAAGGTGCTTCATTTCTTCAAGTAAAAGTTAGGAGGTATGCAGACTCAAGTGGATGTGGTGGCTCTGCTTCCCAATGCCCCTGTGTGTGTTACATGCCATTGAGTCAGCTCTGACTCCTGGTGACCCTATGAATGAGTAATGTCCACAGTGTCCTGTCTTCAGGGGTTCAATTTCCCTCCAGCTCAGGGCTTGCCCATTCCTAGGGTTGAGCCTATTCCTCATGGTCCAGGTCAGCATTCGCCCTCCTGGGATGAAGAATGGGATGCAAAAGAGGCACAGGGACAGCTGTCTCTTTAAGGAGGCTTCCTAGAACTTGCCCTTTGGCACATCCATTACATCCTATTTGCTAGAACAGAGTCACAGGGCCACCTTTAGCTGCAATGGGGCCTGGGAAATGCAGTCTTTAGTCTTAGCAGCCAAATGCTTAGCTAAAATTTCTATTACCATTGAAGGAGAAATGGATTTTTAGGGTCAACAATTTGCTACAGTTATTTCATAGTTGAAGTGCAAATAGAGAAATTAGAAAGTTAAAAGTTATGTATAACCATTTTCAAGGTTTTTGATGCATAATGATAAATTTCCCTTCAGAAGCTCTGTATACATTTACACTCCCAAGGATATATATGAACGTTTCATATTAAACACCTACACAGGAATCAATCAATTCATTTGATGGTTACTATACGGCTTTGCTGGGGGGAAGATGTGACAGAGAAAGTGCTGTGTTTGACAGACCTAGGCTTTATTTTCAGAACTCTTTGAGCTGCGAGTAACAGATAACCTATAAAAAATGTTGAGTTTATTCAGACATTGAGGTATAGTATCTGTTGTAACCTGAAGCTGGAAAATTAAAAATGAAGTTCTTCTGAACAGCAATGGAGTGGGGGATTATGTAAGTAGCTGCAAACATTTTGAGGCCTAAGAGAGAAGAGCGAGTGTAATATGATATCCTCTTAATGTCCCCGGGGGCTGTCCCCGTGTGCTTTCATCAACCGCCACAGCGGAGGCAATGTCCTAAGTGCTTTACATAGGCTCTCATCCAACTTCCCCCACAGTCACTTATTTCTACGAATCCATATTTCACACACGATGGAGTGAAGGCTCAAGAGAGGTCATTGGATGGAGCTAGAACTTAATCACACTTTGTCTGATTTCAAAGTTTTGCTTTTTCCCCTTCTATTCTGAAGCATAAACTGATAAAAAACAAATTTGGTAAGAAACACTTTTGCTGTAGCATTTGAGTTAACTTAAGGGTATGAAGTGTAAAAGGGAGAAGGACCATAGGAAATTTTTCTCTTGGAAGGGGCCTTCTTTTGACTTGAGTTGGATCCCTGCCTCTTTTCTCATAGTACATCTGTTCACACTCAAAGACATATAGGTCTTTTAGCTGCTATGGTTGTTTTGTTGTCTTGTCGCCAGACTTGTATCAGGTCTTGCACATCTTTGTATTATTCCCAGGGCCCAGCATGATGCTTAGAACATAGTAGGTACTCAATAAATATTTGCTGAATGCATTATACAAGCATCCATGGTAATATTAATACTATTTACTAAGAGAGGACTTTTATTAATTTACTGAGACCAAATTTTAAGAGGTGTACAATAATAACTAGACTAGTATAAAATTATGATTCTGACCATGGCTATAAAGAGAATGTATATAAGGCAACTCAACCTGTGAATAATATTGAGTGCCTACAACATGCCAGGATGTTTTAAGTGTTCAACATTGAATTTTGCAACTTAATTGTCACAAAAACCTTATTAGGGTAATCTATGATCTCTACTACAAAAATGGGAAAAATTGAAAAGCCAGGACAAGAATACAGGCAGATCTGTTCTAAAATCTCTGTGTTTAACAACTAAGCTATTTTTCCTCACCATTGTGTATATTGTTTATGATAATAATAGTAATAATAATAATTATTATCATTATTTTGCATGACTCCATAGTAGCCTCTTCTAATGACAACACACAGATCCTTAGCCTGTTGCTTTGTCTGACAACTGGCATTTCCCCTCCGCCAAAGGTACCGGCTGTTCCAGAGGAACCCTAAGTATCCCGGAAAATTGCTGTTTTTATGCCTAAGCAACCTCTACTTCACATCAAAACCAACGAGTAATTTGCTATCAACATTATTCATTACTCACTTTAATAATTAGGAATTCGTTTGAGATTGTTTCCCCTAACAAACGTCCACTTGCACCTCTCAGAGACTTCCTGGCGCACGGACACCCAGTCTTTGCGGGGCTGCTGCAGCTTCCTGGCCGCAGAAACTACACTTCCCAGCCGCCCTTTCGTCCGCCAAACTCGCTTTCCGGGCTCCAGGAGGCATCGCGGAAAAACTACCCACGCTCTACTGGGCTGAGCGGGTGGGAGAGGTACAGGGCGCTCCTCGAAATGGCTCAGATGCAGGACGAGCAGAGAGGGGGCGCGCCCTTGATGGCGGAAGGCAAGTCGCAGGCGGAGGTTAAGCTCATTCTGTACCACTGGACGCATTCCTTCAGCTCCCAAAAGGTAAAAGGCCTTGGCGGCGGTCGGTCGGTGAGGATCGGGTTTCAGCACCCGGACAGCTCCCTCCCGGCCAGCCAGCCGCCAGCCCACCTGGAAAGTGACTCCAAGGCCCCAGCCTCACCGGCGCTCCCAGGAGGGTAGGGGGAGCAGGGAGAATCAGCCTGAGATGAAAAAGCTATGACCTAGGCATTGCCACTCATGAAATAAGACCAAAAGCATCACTTTTCGGTGTTTGGGCTGGAGGCCTTGTGCCCTGGGCCTTGCAGAGTGAGGCAGAGGAAAGCTCCTTCCAACAGCCGAAGCATCTACATTTGCTGATTTTATTCTATTTTGTTCCCATTTACTGTCTTTCACAAGGCCGAGCATATCTGTATTTCAGGTTCTTGTCTAGGGAGGATATGATTAGGATTAGGGAACAAGAAAGTACTAGTGATGGGGAAGGTGACTGTAAATTACTGTAGCCAGAATAATTTTCATTACTTATCTTTTTTAATTTATAAGAACAAGATGCTAGAGTATATCTGATTTGTTAATTCTAGAATAGGAATACAGTTATTCAGAGCTTAACAACAGGGACACTCTGAGAAATGCATCATTAGGCGATTTTGTTGCTCTGTGATCATTACAGAATGCATGTACACAAACCTAGAAAATCTCGCCTACCGCACACCCAGGCTGTATGGGATAGCCTACTGCTCCTAGGCTATGAGCCTGTACAGCATGTTGCTGCACAAAACTACACAAGATTAAATCAAGTGCAAGAGAAAATGATGCCATCAGAGATATGTAAAAACAAAATATACACGGCTGCTGCTGGTGTTAACATGACATGCTGTTTTACAACAAGTGTACTCTAAAATAATGGTAAAAAGTACAGTATAGTACATACATAAAGCAGTAACAGAGTCATTATCATTATCAAGTATCATTACTGTTCATAATAGTATGTACATAATTGTATATGACTGGCAGCACAATAGGTTTGTTTATATCAGCATCACCACAAACACCTGGGTAATGTGTTATGCTATGATGGTGATGTATCGGTCTGTGACATCACTAAGCCACAGGAATTTTTCAGCTTTATTATAATCTTATGGGACCACCATCTTATATGCAGTCTGTTGTTGACCTAAAGGTAGCTATACTGAGCATGACTATAGTTAAAAAGGATATTGAAAATACTGATAGCTCAGGTAAGCACAGAAAAGCTGCTTAGTGGTATCCAGGGATGTCATTTAATTGAAAGCCTACATGTGCTGTGGTAACCAATGTGAACTCTTCCAGGTGCGCTTGGTAATTGCTGAAAAGGCATTGAAGTGCGAGGAACATGATGTAAGTCTGCCCCTGAGTGAGCACAATGAGCCTTGGTTTATGCGTTTGAACTCAACCGGAGAAGTGCCTGTCCTTATCCACGGGGAAAACATTATTTGTGAGGCCACTCAGATCATTGATTATCTTGAACAGACTTTCCTGGATGGTAATGTTAAGGCTATTTGTGATTTCTTAGATTTACTTTTAACACAAATGTATTTGTTTCCTCCATCCCTTCTTCCCTTCCTTCTTTTCTCCCTCCTTCCCTTCTTTCCTTCTTTTTGATTTCATGATGATAGTTTAGTGATTAAAAACTTTTCCATTTCCATAAGCATACAAAAATAAAATGGGTCAATGACATACATTTTGTATAAACCAGTATAACTCCATTTAAAAGAATTTCATGTAAATGACAAATTTTAATGTTTCAAATTTACTTGCAAAAAACCCTGCAGGTAGGTGGCTTGTGGTGGTAATTTAGTTGCCTTGAAGTGACATTCATAATGTTGATTCTAAATGTAGACTATGAAAATCAGTTTTATCTGTTCTACCAAATGGTTCCACCTTAAAAACAATAAGAGGGAAAAAGAGGAATAACGTACAGACAAGGGAGAACAGAATGTTGGTATATTTTGAGTTCTTGGCTCCTGTTACTCCTGTATAGTTCACATTCTTTTGTAAGGAATTATAGTGCTTAAATTTATATACTGCATTTAAGTACTAATCACTTATTAATAGCCTGTTTTATATCAGACATTTAATAATTTTTGTTCTATTCAGTCATCAAAGAACCCACCTGAGACAGGTGTGGTAGTTTAGTTATGCCCATTTTGTACATGAAAGCTTACTTAAGGCAACATAGCTGTATTCCAGGGTAGGGCTGAAATGCAAGTCTGTCAGATCCAGACCTTCATAGTTTACCAACTGTCTCCCATAGTCATTGCCATTTATACATGTGTTGCTTGTTCTTCATGACAACCCTTTGAGGTGAATTGTGGCTTCGCTGATTTGCCCAAGATTCCACAGCTGACCACTGGCAGGACTGAGAGAGAACACAGGGCTCCTAGCTCTCAGCTGAGTACTCTTCTGCAAAAAAAGTTGTGTGAGATCCAGTTACTCTTCATCTCCCACCAGCTGTGTTGATATTAACTGGGCAGATTAAAACCAGAAAATAACCTTAAATCACTGGAAACTGAGAAACGAAATTAGCCAGAAAAATGTCCAAGGTATTACTTTGGAGGAAAATAGACATGGGGCCTGAATGGAGCAGGGATCCCAGGGAAGTAGATGAGTAATGGGCTACTTCTGCTCTTAACCCAAGTGTTTGGTTCTGTGGGATTCTGATGGAAGGTTTCATTAAAGGTGGCCATTGACCAAAACCAAATAACTTAATGAACAACTTTCTCCACCATTACTTGCAATCCCTCTGAGTCTATATACTGGGGATTGTACTGAAAATGGTGGCTAATTGACTTAATACATTTTTTCCTCAACTTTGAGCTTTCTGGAAATGGACAAGTCTGTTAAATAATAATTTGTATTTCTTGGGAGAAGTGATTATAATAATGTGAATGAAACAAAAATAATTGTATGAGAATTCTGTTTTAAATAATCACAAACTTTCAAAAGATATAGTAAATGAAAAATCATATATAAATATTTTGTTAGTATCTCTTGAACTACTACTATTACCATTCTCCCCTCTTCTTCTCTCTCCTTATTGCTTTCCTCTTACATTGTTTCTCCTCTAAGATATTGAGTAACATGAAATATGTTACTTTATAACATAGTAATGTTAATGATTATTAGCCTTTCTTAAAAATTTCCTTAGGCTTTTCCCTTTCCTTTGACTGTATAACAACAAAACTAAAACATTCCGAGTCCTGCTGTAACGAGGGAAATACTAGGTTCTTATTACTATTTATTGAATCAGAGGAGAAAGAATTGTGGATTAAGTGTTAAGATAAAAAATATGGAAACTAAGGACTTTAATTCTGGTTGTACCAACAGAATAAGTAAGCAATCAAGAATCCTAGCTTTGAGTCTGAAGCTGGCCCTGACTTATGTTCTCGGTGACTTGACTTCTGTTTGTTCTCTTGGATTGGGTGATGTAGTTTTATCAATGCAAACATAAAACATTTCAGTTGGTTCCTATTTTACTCCTTCCTTTTTCCTAGGAGAGGAGTCATTTAATTGGAAAGGGTTGAAAAAGATTAAGATTAAAGGACCTAAAACCCATAGTAGATATCAAAACAGCATGAGAACAATTAGTTTCATAAAAAGGCCAGTCTAGTCTACAGATGAAGTTTATCCCAAAGTATTAAATTAAAAAAACAAAAAACATGTAAGTGTTATCACAGTCATCATTAAGATATTTTATTTATCATTAGGAACTCAAGGAGATTAGGAAAAGAGCCAGACAAGTGGTAGACAAATTTTATTCCAATTGTCAAGGAAGGGGGAGGGGAACTCTACCAGTTCTTGCCAGAGGTGTGTTCCATTGACCAGCAGCACTGGTATCACTGGGAGCTCATTAGAAAAGCAGAGTCCTAGACTTAAATGCAAATCTCAGAATCTGTATTTTACCATGATTCCCAAGTGATTCAAATTTATATCAAAGTTTGAGAAACACTGGTACAAATTAATGTGCAGTAAATAATTTTTAAAGCTTTAAGCAGTGCTAGAAATAACTATCTTTAATGGTGGCAGAGTTCTAAAATGGATTGTCAAAAATTTAAAGAAATATATATATATATATATATATAAATTTTGAATAAGTTAAAAGGAAGCAGCTTAAATTTACATTACTGGAAAATGTCATTAACTAACACTTAAAAAAACGAGTCTATTATGTGCCAGGCATAATTCTAGATATAGTGGATCTTGACTTAAGTAGAGCATTTATGACGACTTCATATGATACCCTTATGGATCAAAGGAGGAAATATGTCTAGATAAAATGTACATTTCAGATGAATAAACCACCAAATTGAAGGATATTCATTTTAGATTTCTTATGCCAGGTTGCTCCTTTAGCTATAGAATGTCATTTTACTTATCCTATAATAAGTTTATCTCACTTTATTTTAATTATTTCAATTGCTTATAGACCACTGTAAGCACCATAAGGTCAGGGACAGTGTCTGTCTCATTAACAACTGTATTCCCACTGCTTTCTATGGTGATTGTTCTTTAATAGGAACTTAATGAATACATTTGAATGATTAAAATAAATGAATTATTGAAAAGAGATGTCAACCTGGACAGGGATCTCTACTGGTATTCTTACAGGCTTCTGTTCTCCGAGGAGCATGACATTCCATAAATGACCCGAATAAAGACATAGCAGAAACACTATTACATTTGTAGATGACAGAATGGTTAATATGACTAACTTTGAAATGTTTCTAATGGAACAATAAAATGGAAGAATAGCTATGATAAAGTGTAACAAGGCTAAATATAGTATGCGAATTTTGTTTTTAAAAATCATCTTCTTGAAGAAGGATGGGAGACCAGGCTGGTTAATAATTTACTGATAAAAGCCAATAATAAAACAAAAGGCTAGTGTAATCTCAAATTGTTTCAAAAGTATAGGTTCTATCCAGAATATGGTGAATTGTAACTTGCTATATTCTTAACTGGCTAGAATATGTAGCATTTTGTTCAATTATGGATGGAACTCTGAAGGAGTTGGCAAATTAGAATGATAATAAGTAAATGGATTTCATGAGGTATATAGTTGCCCATGGTTATAATAGGAGACTTTACTTAAGTGTATCCATTCATCTAAAGAACAGAGTGTAGTGAACTGGAACCTCCTTCACTGTTACTACTTGCTATCATGTATTAGTCTATTAGTTGGGGATTATAGCACTAAAAATGATGACTTGCTGACCTGAAAACCTGTCTATGTAATCAGTATTTCCATATTTACATTCTTATGGGATAAATCCATTAAATAACTGCTACTTTGGGGAGAAAAATTTGATTGCCAAGACAATTCTTTCCAAGTCTTAGCCGAAGATAGTGAATATTAAGTTGAGTGATGGCTATGCTTGATTTTTTAAAAAGCAGTTACATGGAAGACTGGTGTAGACATCAGTGATGTTCCGGGGGTCAGAACTTGGGTCAAAGGAAGAATTTAGAAGGACTCCGTTGTGGCTGCTCAATCAAGGGCTGGCCAAGAGCAATCTCTTCGTTCGTTCTTTCAGTAGATGTTTATTGGGTATTAATTGGTACAAGGTCCCAAGTTAAAACACCCAAATCATTAAAAACCTAACTAATCATCAAAGATAATTTCATTCTGTAAACTTGACGATAATGCCAAACCTGTCTGCAGTGCATACATGTGCTATTACTACCACTCAGTTCTGTAGGCTTTTTCATGTGAGTGGCAGCTTTTCCCGCCTGGGCAGGTAATGAAGAGTAGGTATAGTAAAGCAAGAAATTTATTAATCTAGACGAGGTATGATAGTAAGGAACTAGGAGAACTCAGGAACAATGGGTATGACAAGGGAAATATACACTCATAATATGGATTTAAAAATCTAAATATTTCTTATACTATTCATAATCTCTTTCAGTGAACTTTAATTTGGCCACTAGATAATAAGATTTGGGCATGAAATAACTACAAAATACTAGAACATATATTATTTATTACTGCCAGTGATAACCTGGAAACAAGGATGTGATATGGTGAATATTGAATTTTGGTAATTTAATATATAACAGTTCTCTGAAGATTATGTCCCATACCTTATGTCTATATATATCATTTAAAGTATGATTAGGGCCCTGGCTGGTTTGACTCAGCGGTTGGTGCGTCGGCCCACGGACCAGCGAGTCCTGGGTTCAGCTCCCGCTAAGGGCACATACCTTGGTTTCAGTGTGTCCCCAGCCTAGGTTGGGGTTGTGTGGGTGGCAGCCACTCAGTGTGTCTCTCTTGCATCGATGTTTCTCTCTCTCTCTTTCTCCCTCTTTCCCTCCCACTCTATCTGAGGATAAAAATGCAAAAATGTCCTCCAGTGAGGATAAAAAGTAAAAAAATAAAGTATGATTAGGAAATAGGATTTGGTTTGAAAATAATCAAAGTATTCTGGTATTAAAGAGAAAAGTACATGTCTAAGATGGTGTCACTTGTTGTAAAGCCCATGATATTCA